TTATTCTATTTAATATCTTATATCTATGCATAAAAATATTATCCTCATTAACTAAAAAGATATTAAAGGACGGGTGCCATTTCCACAGAAAGAACAGTTACTTACCCTACAGTAAGTGTGGTTCCTTCAGATGTTGTAGTCAGTGTGAATCCCATTGTAGGTACGCACGTGACTCATACACATGAGATCAGTGTCTTTAAAATAGCAATATCCACCAGGGCCTTGCATGTACCCTGAGCTGCCTCATGCTCCAATGTGAGGGCATTAAAGGCAGAGCAGCTGAGACCTTCTCGTGGTTCCCTCCCACTCTGAAGTCTATGATAGTTGAAAACTCCAAAATGCAGGGACAGAGGGCAGGTCACAGGGTCCAACTAACAAGAACGAACCCAGTTACCACAGGGTAAGTAAAAGTTCGAGTATGTGTCAGTGTGGATCCCACTGTAGGTTACTGGTAAGCAGTATCCCCTGGGGATCAGGAGATAAAAGGGTTTCAGCTAAATTAGTCAAACAGTGATTGAAGAAATGCTTTCCCAAACTTGGCCTCAGACTTGACTGCTAAGTCAAAGAGTGATGTTTAAGAGGTCAATAGGTTACTCTGCAATGCTCCTTTGTAGATTTCTGATATCGGCATATTCTTAAAGTAAGTGGAAGATGCTGCTCGAGATCTGGTTGGTATAGGCCTTAATGTTCAGTGGGAGAGGTGCACCAGCCAGCTGGCAACACAATAATACTCTGTTATCCATTTTGTTATTTTCTGAAGAGATGGCCTGACTTTTAGAGTGCCAAGCTATAGCCAGAAATAGATAGGAAGACAGTCTGAATGGTTTGGTCCTGTCAATGTAATAAAGTCCTGGACATAAGAAGTTGCATGCAACTTATCTTCCAGTACAGGGTGTGGTTTTGGGAAGAAGACAGGATTGGTTGACTGGTTTAGATTAAATTACGAGAGCACTCTGGGGATGGATTTCATGCGAAGTCTTTAGTATCACGTTACCCCTATGAAATGTCATATAGGGATCTTCTGACAGACACCTGAACCTCATTCACTCTTCTGGTTGAAGTGATAGTCACTAGAAAGACCATCTTCAGAGGGAAGTGATGCAAGAAGCATTCCAAAAGAGGTTCAAACCGAGACTCCAACAATCTGAGGAGGACTATGTTGAGATTTCAGGCAGGAGTATGATCTCTGACTGATGGGAAAGCATGCAATAGTCCTCTGAGAAACTTCAATTCCCGTCTAGTGAGAAAATAAGAACATAAGAGTGGCCATATTGGATCAGACCAATGGCCCATCTAGCCCGGTATCCTCCCTTCTGAGAGTAGCCAGTACCAGATACTTCAGAGGAAATAAACAGAAGAGAAAAACTACTAAATGATCCATCCCCTGTCCTCCAGACCCAGTTTCTTGCAGTCAGAGGTTTAGGGACATCTGGAGCATGCGGCTGTGTCCCTCACCATCTTGGTTAATAGCCACTGGTGGACCTATCCTCCATGAACATTTCTAATTCTTTTTTAAACCCAATTATACTTTTGGCCTTCACAACATCCCCAGCAAAGAGTTCCACAGGTTGACTGTGTTTTGTGAAGAAGTACTTCCTTTTGTTTGTTTTAAACCTACTGCCTATTAATTTCATTCATGACCCCTGGTTCTTGTGTTATGTGAAGGGGAAAAAACACTTCTCTATTCACTTTCTCCCCACATTCATGATTTTATAAACCTTTGTCATAATCCCCTTTAGTCGTCTCTTTTCTAAGATGAACAATTCCAGCCTTTTTAATCTCTCCTCATATGGAAGCTATACCGTATCCCGAATCATTTTTGTTGCCCTTCTCTGTACCTTTTCCAATTCTAATTTTGAGATGGGGTTACCAGAACTGCACACACTACTCAAGGTGTGGGCATACCATAGATTTACATTGTGGCATGATGACATTTTCCATCATCTTATCTCTCACTTTCCTAATGGTTCCTAACATTGTTAGCTTTTTTTTGACTGCCGCTGCACATTTTCAGAGAACTACCCAGGATGACTCCAGGATCTCCTTCTTGAGTGGTAACAGCTAATTTAGACAACATCATTTTGTATGTACAGTTGGGATTATTTTTTCCAATGTGCATTACTTTGTACTATCGAAGATGAATTTCATCTTCTATTTTGTTGTCCAGTCACCCAGTTTTGTGAGATCCCTTTGTAACTCTTCGCAGTCAGTTTTGGACTTAACTATCATGTGTAATTTAGTAGCATCTGCAAACATTGCCACCTCACTGTTTACCCCCTTTTTCAGATCATTTATAAAATATGTAGAACAGCACATAAAAGACTGAGCACAACCATACAGGCAGATGGCAAGATGAAATTGCTGTGAGGTGGACCTGGATAGAGGTGAACAAAATGCCAGCTTGTTTTAAGTAGTACAGGATCTTCAGTAACAATGCCTGGACTGAGTCCAGACCATATTTGGCTGCCCATACCGAAACCCTCTTCTATGTAGATGAGTAAGTCTTTCTGGTCAATGTTGTCTTGCTCTGTATCAGGAACTCTTGGACCCCGAGGGAGCAGTCTCTGTCTGCAGTTTTCAGTCAGCCCAAAGGCATGCAAGCAGTGACTGAGTCACAGAGTATCTGGCAGGGGTGCTGTGAGATCAGATCCAAGCAACCTGAGAGCTGGACAGGCAGATGACTGAACATTTGTAGAAGGCCTGTCAACCAAACTGCCTCTGCCAGTAGGCAGTCATGAGAATGATCATTGCTTTGTCGTGTTTTATTTTGGATACTATCATAAAGATCAAAGGAAACCAGTGGAAAGGCATTGAGAAGGCTTTGGGACCACTACAGAAGGAAGGCATTTGGTAACAACTTCAAGCTCATACCTCCTCTGAAACAAAAGTTCTGGCACCTGACATTGGTGGCAAACAAGTATCACAGGGTCCCCAATGAAGGAACATCTCATCCATGATGGATCTCCACAGTGACCACTCGTGAGTGGTAACACAGTCTCCTCAGACATTTGCCAGAGTGTTGCTGACTCCTGGGAGGTGAAGAGCTAGCAGAATTAACTGCTGTTGGTAGCACCATATCCAGAGCTTGATTGCCTATAGACAGCAGGGAGAAGAGTGTGTACTTCTTTGTTTACATAGTCCATTGCAGACTTATTGTTTGTCAAGAGCTGCACTGTGGAGCTTTGACGAACGGGTAGGAAGGATGTGCAGGCTAACATAATGGCTCTGAGCCCCAGGACACTGACGTGCCTTGCATTTGTTGATGGTCCAGGTGGGCACCCCTACTTATCCCTGATCTGTGATTAAAATCATTGTTGGGGAGGCAGAAGAGAATGGTAGCCCTCCACGCATGTTTTTGGGTTCCACCACTTCGCTTCTGCAATGATGTGAAGTGTAACCACCACCTTCTTGCTCATTTGGTGTTTATCTGGAGTATAGACCGACCTGAGCTAGAGTTGAAGAGGCCTCAGGTGAAGTCTGGCAAGCAAAGTCAGGAATGTGCACAATGACATATAGCCCAGCAGTCCCAGACATCCTTGGTCCATGGTAGCTGGGTTTGAGTCTATCTGAATTAATAGTGACTGCATCAACAAGAACCCTGACTTTGGGAAGGTACGCTCTCACTAACCAGAAGTTGATCAAGGCTCCTATGAACTCTATTAGCTGTGATGGGATAAGAACCTATTTTTTTGGAGTTCACCAGAAGGCCTAGCCGAGAGAACAGGGAGAGGGCATATTACAAACGTGCTGCAGTTTCCTGGTGAGATCTGCCCTTGTTCAGCCAATTGTCCAGGTAAGGGTAAACATGAATGACCTTCCTTCTGAGATATGTCGCTACTACCTCTAGGTACTTTGTGGAGACTCTGAATGATAATGATTGGGCCCCATTGTGAATCTTAGGTACTTCCTGTAGCCGGGTGGATGGCGATATGGAAGTATGCATCCTACAAGTTCAGAGGCACACACCAGTCTTGAGTCTGAGGAGATAGGATGATGAAGGCAACCATTACCACCATTCTGAATCTGAAGCAGCATGATGTATTTGTTCAGTCTTGTCAGGTCTAGGATAGGACAAAGATCCCCTTTTTAATTCGGGATAAGGAAATAATTGGAACAGAAGAAGCCTCCTTCCCTGTTCTCCACATTTACCTCTTCTATGGCTCCTCGATGAAGTAACGAGGCCCCTTCTGTCTGTAACAGGCTCTCATGAGGAGAGTCCCTGAAAAGGGATAGGGAAGGGAGGTGGGTAGTGTTTAAGGAGTGGAAATGTATAGGGTAGTCTTGGGCCCTTATGCACATTTGTTGGCTGTGAAAAGCTGCCCAGGCCTGGTGGAAAGGGCTTCCCGAAGGTGAGGGCAGGCTCCAGATTGGGAGTCTCAAGAGTCACATGAGCTATCAAATCTGCCATCTCTGAGAGGGATCTGGGTTGCCTAAAGGGAGAGAGAAGCATCCCCTGGATCTCTTTCTTTGTGGGTAACTCCAGCTGTGGACTCTGAGAATAGGTCAGTGTCCTCTGCCTCTGCTGGTACTTTTGTGGTTTCCTAGAGGCAGCCAGTGTGTAGATTCCCAGGGGCCACAGCGTGGCCCTTGAGTGAATGGGTTGCTTCTTCTGTTCAGAATGCCAATATGAAGATTTCTCCACACAGCTGGTTGAACAACCAGTTTCAAAGTCTGTAAGTAGAATAAAGGGTTGGACACTCACTAGGTGCAGTCTTGCTGCAGCGGATGGTAAGAGTACTAAGGGCGGGTTGCAGCCACTCTGCCCTTTATGCCCTTACACAGGAGCATAAAGAGACTCAGAGCACATGTGCAGACCCAACAGACACCACTTTTCAAAAAAGACTCCAATCTCATGCACATGAGGTGCATGTGCTCCCTATAGTGGGATTCATGTTGACACATACTCTAAGAAAATATTGAGACATTAAAAATTAATATGTAACATTGGTGCCAATTACTTATGGAAATATATGACCCTTGTATTCAAAAGCGTCCCTGACCTGTGTGAGTTTGTCCAGCTCCCCAAGCCATTGTCCAAACATCTTGTCCAGATCTTGGTCTTCCTTATCACTATCTTCTTCTGCACCATGATCAAGTTCTTCATCTGATAATTGCTCCATCTGAAACACAAAAGAAATATACCAGTCAATTTACACTCAACTTTTACAAAGCAGCAACAAGGTCTCTTTGGAGGATTGCAATAAACTATTTGGGAACATTCTGCAGGACTGGAGTTCAAGAATCTTATTAAATGTCTATCTACAAATGACATCACTACACTGGGAAATGCCATCACTGACCAAAATCATGGAAAAATTGTACTACTAAGTAGACGTTTGAATCTCAGATATTTCTGAGAAGCTACTGAAACCTATGCAACAGGTAAACTTTTTGTAAGATAGTATTAAGTTTGATAAATTTTCTGCATTAAGTAAATGTAGTTTCTGTTTTTACTCTCACAAGGCTGAAACAGAGACATATTAATATACAATATAATCCGCTCAGTAAACATGCTTAGATTGGAACCCCATGTAAAATGAACTGGAGTAAATGTTCCGTCTCACTCCTGTGCATTTTAGTTGCTTTTTTCCTCCTAAGACTGACATTTCTTGCTACCATATTCTGGTTCAAAATGTTACAACTGTAATCAACCCGGCATTTCAAGGGAACCATTACTATTTATTTGTTAACCACTGAGGTGCTTGGATTTGTAACAGACACGGCCAGATTAGCAGCTACCCCAGTTTACACCAGCTGAGCACCTGGCATACAATAGTAACGAAAGTCCCCTCCTCAAACAGTTTACAATGTAAAAAACAGATAAAGAGAACATAGAACTCACTAAGAAACCCAGCAGGCAGGAATAACTTGGGGGGGGGGGATTTTTTTTATTATTATTCCTAACTTGCTTCTTTTGGGCACTGCAAAGTCAATGAGTATTTAGAAAAGATGCTAATCAAGAAAGCATGGTAGCACAAAGCGTATAAGAGGCACAATGGATAAAGGCAAAGATGGAAGCAGGATATGAAATCATCAGCTCTATTCTTCTCTGCGGATAATGAGCAAAGGACGAAGTAGCATGAAGGAATTCCAGGTTCTGGTCCTGCCTCCTGATAAAAGTGAAGATATAAACTTCCAGAGAGCTCCTTCACAGCAGTTAGTGTCTCTGCTACTTTAGGTCATGATCAGAGGTTTGGAAAACAATCCCTTGGGTGAAGAGGAGGGGGAGCTTTTCCCAAGTAGGTCCTCTTCTGATATTACAGTGATTTTTTATATGTAAAAATCACATCTTTTTGCCGTGTCCTTACACTGCTTCCTGCCACATCCATGCACGTGATTGCTCGATCATTGCACTCCACCAAGTCACATGAAGATCATTCATGCTCAAACAGGTGGCATGGCAGGAGATAGCCTCAAAATATGAAGTATCTGCCACAGTCACTGGTATTGGGGCCACTGATGAAGACCCACTTGATCATTGCATCTCCAGACTGGCCAACTTGAGTGTGGAATCCATTATGGCAGTGCCATAAAGTCCAGGGTTGATCTGCATCGGGTAGGTGATCGACTGGTAGGAGTCGGTGTGCACAGGCCGTTCTCTACTCTTGTTTTCAATAACTGAACCCTTGTCTATTTGGGTGACAATGTCAGCGGTTTAACGGTGCGACTTCAGTTGATTCAGGTTGATGTTATATCATATAGCGGATGTCCTGGATCTGTGCAAGGCTTTGTGTGTGCTACTGTACTAGCAACTTCCTCACATATATCAGGAGGAGCAATACCTGTGAGGATGTAGAGGCTGTTGACATGAATAGGCTTAAGACATCCTGTAATATAGAGGCAGCCAGTGGTAAATACAGGTTCTAGCTTCTTCCATGAAAGGGATTCTGCCCACACTGCACAGGTATATTCAGGAATGGAGTAGCAAAGTGCCAGTGGTGATGATCGCAGAGTGGAGGGGTCTGCACCCTACTTTGATGTAACAAGCTTGCCAAGAATGTCGTGTCATATGCGAACCTTGGGTTTAGTTTTCTCAATGTGGGCTCCAAAGGAGGGTGTGCGGTTGAGAGTAACACCTAGGTGTAGGGGATTTACGGAATGAGTAAATTTTGTCCCATGCCAGTTTAGCTCACTTTTGGCCTCAGTTTTTGAGATAGAATGCACTGACGTCTTTGCTGTAAAACATACCATCATGATAACAGAGTCCAGCATAGTTGCATTTCTCTGCTGTTACATAGATTCCAAAAAAGGAAAAAAGAAAATTTAACACAATTAGTACTACAGTATTTGGTTGAAATACTGTTCAAGTTGGGGGATGCTGACTTAAGGCTAAGCCTGCTCCCACTGAAGTCAACAGGAGTTTAGCTGTTAATTTCAATGGGAACACTATTGGCTTATTATCTATTTCCTTCTCCTCTTACTCCAAGGCTATATCCCAGGGGTTTTTCTTGTTTTGTTTTTAAGGTTGAAGACAGCTTACATCTCCTTATTTTGGAGAAATTGCTGACATTTTCAGGAAGTGCAAAGACCTGGTTTAAAATTACTGAAATTATTTTACAATTTGCTGTTTGAAGACCTTAGACCAGGGGTTGGCAACCTTCGGCACGCAGCCCATCAGGGTAATCTGCTCGTGGGCTGCGAGACATTTTGTTTACATTGGCCGTCCACAGGCACGGCCTCCCGCAGCTCCCAGTGGCCGCGGTTCGCCTTCCCGGCCAATGGGAGCTGCAGGAAGCCGCGGGCTGCAGGAACGTGCTGGCCGCCCCTTCCCACAGCTCCCATTGGCTGGGAGAGGCGAACTGCAGCTACTGGGAGCTGCGCCTGTGGACGGTCAAAGTAGGCAAAATGTCTCGTGGCCTGCCAGCGGATTACACTGATGGGCCACGTGCCGAAGGTTGCCAACCCCTGACTTAGACCATGTTTTTTCATACCGCAAAGGCAGCCATGTGTTACCCACAAGAAATGGCATGCAGCATTCGCGAACAGATGTACTTCCAAAGCCTTCAAAAAGCAAAACCAATATACTATCCAACAGCAAATAGAAAAATAAGCACTTATTTTATATAAGTATATAACAAAACATCTATACATACACAAAGTGGAAATAGCATACAAATAATAAACTTCAACGTTCATTATTTGCAAAATCCTGAAAAAAACCCATAAAGGTGATGCAGTGCATTAATTATTAAAGTCATTAAATAGCTAAATAACTGAGAACATAGTCTACAAGTATTGGGGACTAATACACACTAAACTGCAAAGGTATGAAATAGTTTCATGTGTGACTAGACATCCTTGTATTTTTTCCCCAAGCACTTCTATTAGAGCAATTTTTTCCCCATTAATACAGTAGCAGAGAGCTCACTCAGTCAGTCTATGTATGAGGGAGAAATTGAAGATTTCAATTCTCTCAAAGTAATCCTTTTGGTCACAACAGTTACTGCAATCCATTTCTTAATGTTAACTGGTAATTCATAAACATTTTTTTAAAAATTAAAAGGAAACAGGCCAAAGCAATAATTTTTAAGTGTGGGTCCTTGAAGTTAGGCTCCTAATCTCATATTTAGGCAACTGAAAAACAATAGGCCACTTCTATTTAGAGGCAAAGAGCAACTCCGGCTGCTACTAAATCACTGGGAGCTCATTATATTTGAAAATCAGGCCACTTCTTATTAAAGATTCTAAATACAGATTTAGAAACCTAACTTTAGGTACCCAGATTTGAATAATTTTGGCCTTCATCAGCCGCTTAGCCAATGGCAGCAGTTGACAAGCACAAAATATCAGTAGGCAATGATAGTCTCCCTTCTACCTGAGCAGGTGAGAGAACGTATAGTTTCTGAACCTCCTGACAGTGGCCCAGCTCTTCAAAATGTTTATATTTACTTATTTTGGCATGCATGCAAATTTTTCAAAGGAAATGCAAGTGAGTGAAAGGAAATGGTGATTTTTAACAGTTTATAATTCTGCTGAATCTGAATTTAGTTTCATAGGACAAAAGAAAAGACACTTCTTTAGTCATAAGGCTCTCTCCAAGCCAAGTATCAAAGGCAGAGGCACCAAATTACTAAGGTCCCGGGGGATGCTCGACCCTCGCTCCGCACCAGACCCTGCCCCCACTCCACCCCTTCCTCCAAGCCCCCACCCGCACCCCTTCCAGCCCTTGCTCCACCCCAGGCCCGTCCCCATTCCACCCCTTTCCCCAAGCCCCCACCTCCTCCCCACCTCTTCCACTCCTGCTCTGCCCCTTCCCGCCTCTCTCCCCAGTGCCTCCTGTACACCATTGAACAGTTGATCCGCGGCAGGTGGGAGGCACTGGGGAGGGGGGTGCAGAGCTGATCAGCAGGGCCTCAGGCAGGTGGAAGGCGCTGGAGGAGAGGGGGAGGCACTGATCCACAGGTCTGTCAGTGGGTTTTCCGTGGGTGCTTCAGCCCCGGAGCACCCATGGAATTGGCACCTATGATTAAAGGTCTGCTACTAACAGTAGAGGTGTTATATGTTCTTAAAAAAAAAAAAACAAACAAAAAAACAAACAAAAAAACACACCACAAGAATCTTTTAGAAAGGAAACTGGTAGGCAACCTAAATATACGATTCTATACCAGCTCCCCTGTAATACACACAGGTGGTGACAATTACTGAACATATATTGTAAGTGTTCTCATTACACCACAAAACAAAATATGGAAAAGGATTTCTATAACTGGGTTTGAAATTAAAAGTGAGTCAACGTAATACTATTGTGTCAGACCATTTGAATGATACCAGCACCTAACACATAGAAAGTATAGTTACACAACCCAAGAACGCGTGTAGGACCACTACAGTTTTCATCCTTATGATGAGAAGAGACAAAAGCAAGGATTTTTTTTATTAATATATTTAAGAACCCGTTCTTCTAAAGTGACATTGCCCCTGCCATTTACAAGATCAGTACAAAGCACCCAAAAAGCTAGAGCGCTAACACGAAGTCCATAGTGACGTCTAACATGCCACATTACATTCTTTCATGCTAACCCTTGAACACGTGTTCATTGCCAGCAACAGACTTTGCACTAAAAGAATTCAACTCTCTAGTCCAAGGAATTCAGCTGACCACAGTTAAGCAACATCACTC